AATGTTTAGCGATCGTCTGGGCCCTGGATAAGTGGAGACCATATCTGCTTGGGCAAAGGTTTCATGTCGAAACCGATCACAAACCCCTGGAGTGGATCAGGACCACCAGAGATCCTCGCGGGAAGCTCGCACGCTGGGCACTCCGGTTGCAAGAGTACGACTTCACAATCCAGCACGTGCCGGGGAAGGAGAACCACTTGGCTGATTGGCTGTCAAGGCCAGAGGCTGAAGATGAGGTCCCCAAGATCATGATTGGAGCCAATGGCCTCGTCGTCGAACTGGATCCCGGAAAGTTGGTGCAACTCCAACGGCAGGATCCGGTGTTACAAAAGGTTGCAGCCGCCTTGTTGGATGGAAGGAACATTGAGAACGGAGAGGGAGACAAGGAATTAGAAGCGTTCCAGAGTCACTTTGATCGGCTGAGGCTGAATGAAGCTGGCATAATTTCCTGGAACGCCACTGATTCAGATGTTGTGCTGCCCGTGATACCTCGCGTCTTGAGACGGAATCTCATCGTTGAATGCCATGAGATGGCACATACAGGGTGCACCAAGACATACGACCTACTTCGGCAGAGGGCCTACTGGCCCGGGATGAGAAGTGAGGTGATGGATTATGTGGTGTCCTGTAAGCGTTGTCAACTAATGAAAGCGGATACGACAGGGGCAACCCATCCCATGGAACCCATTCCTGTCTCAGAAATCGGCGAGTTGTGGTCAGTTGACGTCATGGGCCCCTTTCCGGTGACAACCAGTGGGAACCAATACATCGTGATGATGACAGAACACCTGTCGCGATGGATTGAGGCGGCAGCCGTGCCGAATCAGCGGGCGACGACGATCAGCGGAGTGGTAATGCATCACACTGTGGCCAACCATGGGTTCGTTGCACAGCACCGTAAAAGTCCGATAATTTCGGCAGATACTGTTCCTCTTAAGAACTATAGACCACTTATTTGCATGTTTCGATCGCCCAATCCAAACTAAGCAGTAAGATGTTTTTTCTCTCCTATAAAGTAGCCATTTTTATGGAGGATTATCCACAGGAACGAGAGTTGTGAATTGCTTGATTTGTTCTTGTGTCCATGCTTCCCCACTGGGAACAAAGTACAACTTTCAAATTAGAACCCCTACATTAGGACCCTCACGGAATACCCTTCAATAAGAAGTACGTAAGAAGGCATAAGTCACTTTTAGATTTTGGTCCTTCAAAGGGGGCACAAGAGTGTCACTTTATACCTGGCTGTCTCTGTTAGGGTGGTTTCTGATATGATTTCGTGGGGGGTGATTCAGTGTTGCAACTTCGTGTATATTTAAAATTGCCTCCCATCTTGAAAGACTGCTTCCCCGGTCAACAATTCAAATGAACCGCCCCTTTTTTGGACCGGTGTAGTTGAATCCTATTTTTAGTTACACAAGACATTCATATATTCTGTTTTCCTTACCGCGCAAATCGTTTTTGCCGCTTCGGTTATACTATTTTTTTGTACCATAACCTTGGTTAACTGTGAATTTGTTTTAATGCACGAGTCGACCACGCGTTGACTGTTGATCCATATCGGCTGTGCTTGCCTTTTGGAGTACCTCACCGTTTGTCGAAAACCGTTGAGCACATTTGCGTAGCCATTCGTTCGGAGTTTTGCCGGCTTGGTTGCTAACCTTGGTGCTCGTTGCTCAGGAATTCGAAACCGTCGTTACCTTCAGGTCTTCTCCATTCATGAATGACTACACAACGAATTTCTATGCTCAGAGACCATTGTTGGAATCGAAAACACAACATCTAGAATACTGTCGCGTCTGGACCGAGATGAACGTGATTTACAGTTAAAGATGTCCGTTGTACATGAGCAACTGACTACGAAAACCGTCAAGGACGGAGCACATAAACGTAGATGACGTAAAGACAGCAAACATTACCTAATCAGTTGGTACGACTGTGGAACAGTTAGGCTGCAAATGTGACTACTTCATGTAACGGGAAGTTTATTGTTCATGATTAACCGCTTGCTTTTACACGTAAATCCCAACGAGAACCTTTTAAACTCACATAAAATGGATATCCAGCAAAAAACAAGTCTGTGGGCTGCAGATGTGTGAGCGCGGTGCGTAGATTCTCCGCAACAACATAGGCATCATCGTCTGATTTGTAGAAATAATCGTATTCATCTCGATATCGGTTCACATGGCGCAGAATCGCTTGCATTTTAGACCACAAGTGTTGTCGGCTCTCATTGTGCTGCAAATTCAGCTCTAAGCAGTAAGAGTTAAAAGAAGTAAGTCTCCCTGATTGTTTGATTACTTATGTATATTAGCCCAAAGCAAAAATGATGATCTTTAGAGTATACGGAGTCGCGATATTACGTTGAACAGGATGTCCACTTAGCTAAGAAAACAGAACGGATGATTGGTCAAATAGATTCATTTTCAAACGGTACACTTAGCTGGATCCCATCTGAATCCTTTGTTCATAAAATTCGTCCACGAATTTTCAGCAACCTTGCACGTAGTATGTTCCTTCAAGAAAACACAGTTACATCGTATGGAAAGAAGAAAACGGATCAGTCGCTCGTGCCTAAACGGTCAGCTGTTCGAACGAGTGGCCTGTGGGTAGCAGGTTCGACTCTTTCTACAGGTTGGACAGACCTGCATCGTCAGTGATCCCCAACAAGGAGAAAAGACAGCCGCGCATTGTTTCCGGTGTCTCAGCATAGACTAGCTTCACTTACAGCTCAAAATTTCATTTGAATCCTTCATTACTTTCGTCCAGTTAAAGGCTGCCCGATTAGACCCAACTTCTGAGACTAATTCATGTTTTTTCACTGGAGTACACTCAGTGGGGAACAGTGTAAAATTCTACACTTACTTCCACAACTCGTTCACATATCAACTTACTTCAAACATATTGTGCCAATGAGAGAGTAATTAATTGGCGTACAAATTCCATTCTCGTTGTCTTCTGGAATTGATTACCATCACCATCATCCTTAATTGTCGTACAAATTCCATTCTCGTAGTAAAATTGAATCTTACCCGTTGGCTTCTGGAATTGATTACCATCACCATCATCATCGGCAGCATGACATCAGTGTTCAACACCGATGCTTCAATGCCGTACAACTATGATTTATTTGAAAGCCTTATTGTAAAGAAAAGAATAAAGGTGGACGAGGAAGGAACTTGGTGCTAGATTAATACACTTCCAGAAATTCACTCAGGCAATCTAGATAGAAACTGACAACAAGAACGCCAGTGACATCGGTTGGCGGCCATATCTTGTAGTGTCTCCAACCAGGTGCAGTGAGGACCACGCGGACCCCATCCTGGAAGGCGAGTAGCACCGACAGCACCCAAGCGTTTCGTGATCTCCTTCATGCTCTCCTGCCAAGTCAAGAGTTTGCGCCACTCTTAATTGGGCATGGAAAACAGCACTGTCTTTGGCAAACGATGGTTCGGCATACGCAACACATGTCCTAACCAACGCAGCTTCTGGTACTGGACACATTCTTCAATGGAAGTACCCGTTACACAACCGAAAACGCGCTTTCTAACTGCCTCGTTACGGATTCGACGACACCAACCCACGCGAGCTATGGTTCTATGACAACGATTGTCGAACACCTGGAGACGTCTCAGGTCAGCTGCTCGAATAGGCCAAGTCTCACAGCCATACAACAAAACAGCCCGTACTGTAGCTTGATACACATTTCCCTTGAAATTCTGGGATAGACCACACTGACGCCACGTGTATCTCAAATTAGCAAACACGACCCAAGCCCTGCAGATTCGTGCATTCGCCTCACCTGTCACACTACAATCAGAACTAATACAACTCCCAAGATATGTAAAACGCTCCACAAATTCCAGTATCTCTCTCTCTCTGGATTGTAAATGGATTGTTCAGGGACCGCACGTCCAGGAACATGACAGTACACTTTGTGGGTGCAAATTGCATACCAAAGGACGAGATGACTTTGTCAGTTCATCCAGAAACACTTGCGTCTTCTGTTCCCCTTCGAAGATGAGAACGATGTCGTCTGGGTACTCCAGATCGACACGGTTTTCTTCACAGGCTATTTGAACACCAGGGTTTTGGAGACCCTCCAGGTCTGCATATTCCAGATCGACAAGGCTTTCTTCACGGGCTATTTGAACACCAGGGTTTTGGAGACCCCCAGCGTTCGCCTGATTATTTCTTTGATCACGAAGTTAAAAAGGAATTGAGAGAGTAGGCATCCCTGACGGACACCGCTTTGTGTACGGAAGCTTTTGGAGAGTTCTCCGTACACTCTTACACGTCCGGAAGTCTGAGAATACAAAGAACGTATCATACGCTTATACGTATGGCGTTGTCCTAGCACCTGAGGAAGTGTGACGAAGTGGTCAATGCAACCTCTACCAGGCTAGAATCCCGCTTGCTGTCCTCGAGTTAGTGTCCCACGTTCCACCGCAAGGCGACGAAGCACGGCTGACGCCAACAGTCTCGTTACGACCGGGGTCAAGCTGATCCCCTTGTGAGGGGTCACTATCACCGATTCTCCCGAGTTGTCTGGGACAGACTCCTTTTCCCAAACGCAAACAAACAGATCAGACAAGCGCTGACTGGGGACTTCATCCTCGTCTCTGAACAGTGCGGGTGGGAGGTCATCCGGACCAGGAACTCGGTGGCGCTTGAGAACATATGCAGTCGTAAACCTCCGGCACCGCAGGTGGTTCCACGTTAACCGTCCAGGGTTCTACTTCACCTGTGGGCTATAGATGAGTTCCAGCTGGTAGCCACGACAGTTGTTGTTCAGTATTCAGCTCACTGGTCGAGGCGTTCTTCTTTATTCGAGATGGTCGTTCCATTCTGATGTTTGATGGTTTCACTCACAGGTGGTTTCCGGGGTCTGGTCGCACGGATCAACTGAAATAATCTTCGGACATTACCGGATTTCTGGGCCTCTTCCATTTTTTTGGCTTTCTGTGTCAACCATACTTTACGGTCGGCTCGCACGCTCACTTTCACTTGACGTCTGATACCGCTTCACACCGGGTTATATTCAAGACCGGCTGGGATATTTCTCCAAGATTCAAGCAGTGCCACCTTTCGGTCACCGTTCAGGCAAAATTCCCAGCAATATGAAAGGAGGTCAAATTAGTGGATGGTTTTAAACATCCTTGTCGGCAAACTCGTCTAGAATTGGACTAGATTCGCACTGTAAACCTCGTTTTCTGGTCGGCTAAACGAAAGCTAAGTCTGTCAGGAATAATCATTGTGGTTTGACCAAATTCTACCAGGTTGCAGTATGATGGTTCCAACAACGAGATCGGCATGATTCCAATATCACTTAGATGCCACTCATGTAAAACAGTCAAGAAAATGAACGAAATATCTTGAAGAACGGTTTTTTGTGAGCATCTAGGTCAGTCAACATGATGGGTTGACCTGATGTTGGATTTCCCATTGGCGGCTTTTGTTACCGATTGAGAATAAGTCTCTCGTGTCCCGCGGCTGGTTGTTTCAACACAAGTCGGTGACTGTGAGAATAAGCCCATTTGTAAATTTTGATGGTGCGGAGGACACACAGTTAACGGAAACCCAGATACTGTGACTATTTGATGAGATTCAAAGAGAAGAAAAAACTGATCGAGTGTCATCAAAGAGTTTTCAGCAATATTATAAGCAATGTGTTCCGTTAAGGTCGGAGATCATGTGGACATTGGTATTGCTGCAACTACGGTAGATGTCCAGACTGGTGAAAAAAATTGTTCAGGTGTAAAATTGTTTCGGTGCCCAACTGCCATGCTACCAGAAGAAAGCACGAGGGCTGGGATACTTACAACCCAGATAGAGAGAGTCGAGAGACGGAGGTCGGATTCGAACCGCGGACCTCGCGGTCAGCAAATTCACGCTCTAACCACTGAGTCATCTCGTCCAGACTGCTGGTACTTTACGATTGTCCTCTTGATGCACTTCTGTAGTAATTGATACAGCTTATGGACAAAAGAAACGGTCGGATTCTTTGCCACTTGTCTCTTAGAGTATTAGTCTGTAGACCCTCTGGGATTTTGTATTTCACAAAGTTAAAAAACGTACAAGCAGCTGAAGAAGGAAACTTGTTTCAGACTGAAGATTAAGGCAGCATATATGAACGAATGTTTTAAACGAGCACCGAATGAGAAAACGTTATTTCAGCTTTCTCCATGACGAAAGGACCCGACACCTTCTGGATTGATGTTCGCGGTGTGGGAGACAAGTCTGTTTTGTCCTAAGAGTTTTTGAGCTTGGAAGGACTCATCGGTTAAAGGCGGAATGTCTGTGGTTCGAACCCAGCCTCGGCATCTCGACTGCTCCTGTCTGGACTTGGGTAAATTAGACAAACAAGCGAGAGATTGTTTGTTTCCAGGTGAGTCTCTCGCAAGACAAAATCTGTTTGCAAATGAGTGTATTTTGCCAATTTCGTGCAATTTTGTTTCAAGTAGAACCTAAGTTTGACGGAAACTCGAAGACTGCGCCTACCTGATGAGCCCCAAGATGGGCGAAACCGGTCATGGGCTGCTGAAGAATTTTCATCAACCTTAGGAGTAGTGCATTACGTATATACGGTATTTCAGTCCTTATCCGTCCTTCGGGTGGCAGGGCAGCTAAGAGCCGAAAAGGTGTTATATCTGGACGATTATTGTGATTAGTAGTGGCGTTATTTTCATTATATATAGATGTACTCTTACACTGTATACTACAGCCATGACTGGGACTTACTCACCGCACCCAACTCTTTATCGGTTTCACTGCTCATGAACAGATGTTTGTTGCATTTCCTTGCCCAAGTGAGCTTCACATGGAGTGCTCGACTCAGATGCGTTGCCGGATAGGTATTAATGTAGCACAGAATTTTGGCAAGACCTTTGGTTGCAAGGGCGATAGATGCATCGATCACTGAATACAACAGGTAAGCGGCCTTGGGCATATACAAACAAACAAACCATACACCCGCCTTTGTTCGTCCAAAATGTTATCGGGATCTACTCTGATTAGAATAGATGATTTGTTGCACACCGGGTAGCATAGTTTGATCAACTGTCGTAAAATTACCCCAGCGAGTATTCCGGTCAGAAAACACAAATTTGACCGCACTGTACAACGTACCATTTGAAAGTTTTTTGGATGTTCACCGGAGACCACTGCACTAAATTGCTCTGAGTTCGGTTTACTCATGAGCGAATGATTGGATGATTGTGCTAGCCTCAAATGATTGGACGATATCTTATGGAGCAAAATGTTTTAGTCTTTTAAACTAAGGTCTGTTGAGGTATTCAACTTTGACTGCTTTGTACTATTCGTGTTGTTTGAATGATCAGCAACATATCATATATGATCATATGAATCATATCAGATGTGATTCAACTTTAACTATCATTCAAATGATGACTTTCCCTGTTTCTTGTTAATCACGCAAAATAACATTGTAAAGGCGTAAGTACAAAGGGGTTCACTGTATTAGAGGAAATATAGCTAAAAAGACTCTCATGAAATTGCTCTCTTTATTCCTAGGAGATCGCGTGAGCAAATTTCTTTACTGATGACTTGTCTCTTTACTCACTAAGAAAGAGCATAGAAAGTGACGATACTCAGCCCTCTTGCTGTCACCTAAAGTGCATACCACTTCGTAGATGACGAGAAATATTACCCTGGATTTCTCAAGAAACCTCATCTTGAAATAGAACGTCCAAGTACGCATAGCATGAACAAAAAGACACACTTAAGGAAGCATGTGAAACGCCAAACTGCCACCTGCCTAGCGGAATTTCTATCGACTGAGCTACTCAGGACGTCCACTTTCCGTCACCATTATGCACCTCAACTTGACAGCTGATCTTGTCTAGCCATCTCATCATTCAGCTAACTTCAAGTAAGGCTGTTTTCTGTCCATAAGGAATCGTTCCAAGTAAGATGGAAAGATAACCCCGTGGGTGGTCACTTCCAGAGGACATCAGTGAAGTGACAATTTGCAGTGTCGGGGGAAAATCATATTAATTACCCACTTGTCGACTTGGTCTACTTGAACTCTCCATTCACCCATGACAACAAGTCCATAAGATAAAATATCCGTGCGAAATCCACCTTATTTCCACTTTTTATGGGTTCAGAAGGCAAACCGCACACCACAGCATGCAGTTCGGAATGCACACCCAACAAATCGATACAACGCAAGAACGACAGTCTAAAAAGCAATAGCTTGCCGTGAGTGTTTACGGTTTCAGGACTAGGTAAATAGAGAGTAGCCGCCCGATCGAGAGACCCAAGTGGGCTACTCTGGATATCACCAGTAGTTCGTAAAGTCCTGCAAAAATTTAAGTTATCGCCTGAACGTGGGAAGCGTTCGGGTTGAGCAGTGTAAACTTCACAATGTGGATCACCCAAGAAGTGCGCTTCGAACACAATCTTCAAGTAACTTCATGCATAGATCTATGCTGGGATGTCGGACTTCAGCCAATTTGGGGCACGTGATGAATTCGATCGTTGTCTAGGCCTTAGTGAATGGAGGTTAAAACTGATCAGAGAATTAGGACGGCCTGGGTAGTGAGTAATCATCACCAAAGGATACGATCAATACAAGGTTAGTTGACCAATGTGATCAGGACCAATAAATAACCGACAAACATGTGCGCAGCCTGAGTGAAGTCGAACGTAACGTTTATAGTAAAGCGTACTACAAACAACCGACAGAAGAAATGTTTGGGGCACGTGATGAATTCGATCGTTGTCTAGGCCTCAATGAATGGAGGTTAAAACTGATCAGAGATTCAGGACAGCCTGGGCAGTGAGTAATCATCACCAAAGGATACGATCAATACAAGGCTAGATGGCCAATAGCCGACAAACATGCGCACAGCCTGAGTGAAGTCGAACGTATCGTTTATGGTAAAGCGTACTACAAATAACCGACAGAAGAAATATGAACTTGTTCGATGAGCGGCGCCGTATGTGTTCTTGAATCCATGGAGTTTGTTTTGTTGCTGACGGATTGTGGTCAACGAACAGCGCAGAAATGTATAGATGAAGTAAGGTAAAGTAAAGACAAGCTTGAATAAGATATTATAACCATCTTAACTGGGGTGAGCTTAGTAGGGGCATTGTCCATCATCTATAGCGTATTTTTTATGGCGTGGCCATCCTTCAGGAAAGTCACCACCCTTTTGGTCACGCCCCACAAGAAATTAGAGCTAAAGCGCACACGCTGCTTTTAACTTCCCAATAAGTTTGAATCAAAATAATCCTCAGTGAATGTTTCTACACATTCTCACTTGCAAACCGCCCGGCTTGGTTTCCTGTGAATGAATTTAGCTTCCATTAATATATGCACCAAGGAGTGTTACTCATTGTATCAGTAAATTACGATACTCGATTCATGTGCATTGAAAAGCGCACTGAGTTGAGCGCATTTTTGATGCCCGCTCTTTTGTTCTTTTAAACTGGTCTAAAGACACTTAGATTGCTCTCAAGGTACTTGGGGAATCGTGCTGATGAATTTCTTATCCCTATCAAGATATCTTGAGTTGGAGTCGTTCGGGGATTTAAGGCAGCACTTTTCACCTGACAACTGTCTATGGGTTCATGATTGGTACCAATTTTTAGACATATACGTCAGTCACTTTGTGTTAATGGAACGCTAACCGATTAGCTAGTTCACTAATGCTTACGGTTATCTTTCGACTATGAAGGTCTTCCCGAAGTTGGATCACTCAGTAAATCGGAGCAAATACACTTAGAGTCCCGACCACACTCAAGCCTCCCTTGGTAGACTTTGACACACAAACTGGAAACAATTGTCAACTGGTTGTGGGACACAAAACGACTGAAGCAGTGCTGTATCTTGGTCATTGTGACATGCATCTCAAAGTCATGCTGTTTACTGACCACTTCTGACCGTCTGTCAGAGAGGAAACTGGCGGGTAGCTTTACATCGATAATGCCGTTCTATTGTTTTGAGAAGCACACTGCTCAGCTGTGTGCAGGGCATGGAAATCCGATCCGTTTCAAAACTGTGAGGACATTTATATTCGCTCATTTCTCGTATGGTTTTGATGGAACGTTTTATTTTACTCACAAGTAAGCAGAGTATCTTTATGCGTTTCTGAGAACAGTGCGACGTGACAATTCAGGCTGGGCCAGCTTGGCGAACAGATCAACGACCACCTAACCAACGACCAATGAATCTCTCGTTCATGATACTCAAGGGACTGGACGACACACAATCGCCTACCAGTGAAGATCACCATGCAAAAAATAGGGCGAAGTTGCTTTATCCTGTGAATCAACGGTTAACAGCGGTAATTTTCCTTGCTTTCTGACTACCGATGAGTAACGTGACTACGCCCGTTTATTATGAAGCCGCTTTGTTTCCTTGCTGCTCGCTTTCCCTCTGTTTAATTCCTACTTAAGATCTGCTTATTCCTCAGGAACTGATGTCGATATTTTGTTTCCCGTACGTCATTGCTTGCAAATTCGTCTCCGCTGTACCCATTTTCGAGCGTCCCTTTCGACGGAAGAGTGGACCGATCGGGTACCGAATCCAGAGTTCCCGAATGGTAGGTGAATGAGCTATCCACTTCACCAACCTGACATCCGGATTGGTTTATTATTTTGTATTACCCATGTACCCTACCTGCCAATAGCCTTTGGCGAGATTTGTTTTAAACGGACAAAACTGCGCAATCTGAATTGTCACGTGACCCCAGCTGCCGCGTCGCGCCTCCAACCGAAAGACAGTCCCTCACATCCCAAACATACTGATTTCCGCACCGTTATCTCTCTGTACTGTCAACTCACACTGTCTGACTGCCCCCGTATAGATCCCTGCTGCCTTAGTGACTAGTTTCCACCCCTGCTGATTGCGTCATTATTGAGTAACCCGTTCCCGTCAGTCTTCAATACATCATCTGCTGCCCACGTCTGTCTGCTCCTACTGTCTACTGGCTACCAACTGCGTATAATCTAATGACCGCAATCGTCCTGTGAGTTCCATAAGCGCCCGGATCTCACAATCACCTTATCAAGACCTCCATTCGACAAAAACGAAGCCGATTTTTTGACTAATTCCCAACCTAAAGGGTCAGTGTGTGTGAGTTTGTTTGATTGAAACCTATGAGCTCTGGGCTAACCGATCCAGTGGTTGACGGAACGGATAAAAAGTACTTTCGCATGTAAATCGTCCTCAGTACAACACTGCTTCGTATTGTCATTTCTACAAGGTTGCTTTTCACTCCGCTCTTCAAGCGGCCATTGTTGTCGACCTTTCTTGTGTGATCTCAGCTAACCATCGTAAGCACTGATAACAACTAGCTGTGAGTTCTTTCTCTTTGGTCCGCTTGTTTTTTTATGGTTCCGGACTTTTGTTACGCATGAATACTGCTCCATTCCTCCCTCAGCCTTGCTGTTTGTTAATTTTGCTCAATAAATTGTTGTCGAAACTGCACTCTGTATCTCAGTAGGATAATCTGAAGGTGGACCATCCAAGCCCTTGTTGCCAGGTTGAATTCAGCTAACCATTCTTGTTCCTGCAAATGTGTTTAAAACTGCATTTGAAAGTGAGAGTTTCAAAACCGGATTGCTAGCTTGTGGCATACGTAAAGCAGCTAGTACGTAAAGGATAAAACAACTTTTGGAAACTAAGGTGTGCTGAAAACAGAACCTAAATGAAACTCTTCAATTGAATGGGCGACATGGGCGTCGTCGAAGAATCCATTTGAACCGGTCACCAAGAAGCCATTTGCCTCATAAAGTCAATGAAAATGCACGGATAGCTCACCACCTGTGGCGATTTGTTGATAGCTATCAAAGTAGTCCTGGATCTTATTTAAACTTATTCGTTAATCGGACAGAAACCTGCAGATGCAATTGTAAACGGATCTGTTGCTAACATCAGGCCAAAACAGTGTACGCCTCAAGGTTCAGCCGAGTTGAAATTACAGATATCGATGCGTTGGTTCGTGGTAAAACACAACATGTGATTGACTGATGAATCATTTGTCGAAAATCCACTGTTGATTTTGTCCTGTCGTCTTATTATCTTTACCCGGTAAGCCATGGACAGTGAGATCGGTCAGAGTTTTGGTGAACCTTGCATTATCAGTCATCGCGTAAGGGAATATAACTTCCGGATCTATCAGGTATCTGGGGCAGAGACAGATAGTAGCTTGGCTCTGGGTCACGTCAATTCGAGACTTATTCATAGGATTCTCGAATCAGTTCGCAAAAGCCGTATCATTGCTGTACTTGCCTTATCCGATTGATTACTCTATCTTCACAGCATGATTTCACATGCACCCAGATTGGAGCCAGCAGATCCTGTTTCGTCAGGCTTTAGCAAGTTTACTCAAGTCTAACCAAGCAAAAGATGGGTTTACGTACCCACTCCAAGTGGATGCATAAAGCAAACATAAATATAATCGTAAAGTAGCGACAAAAGAGTCTTCGATGCAGCCTAAACTGAGAGAATGATAGAGGAGCGGCAAGCAATAGGTCCGGACTAACTGAATATTGAACCTTAAGGGCAAAAGGTCGTACTAGAAAGTTGATGTGGCCTGGAACACGATTGGTTGGGTTGACGGTCAGACAAGACTCTGTGGATAGGTTTGCAATAAGCCACAAGGTGTTTGTCAACTTCGAAACCACCCATGAGGCTTCTACTCTTCTTGAGGGAGTGTTTCAATCACCTAACTGCAAGGAAGTAATCTTCTCGGAGTAGCCCGGGAAACAGGAGACCAAAAAGGAAATCCAGCAAGGAACACGTTAGATTGGATTTAGGGGATAACATAGGACGTGCAACTTCTAAAAGCGTAAGAAATATGTCATCGGACTTTGGTGAAAATATTTCTAAAGCAGAGCAAAAATATGAGGTTAAGGTCTAAGAAGGCCTTGAGATAGGCCTGTTCTGGATCATGATTAATGATGAGCATTTGACAAGGTTTTCATTACGCTTACCTCATAACGCACGGATGATGTCACTTGGACTGGCGATGAAACGTTTGGAATCAGACCGCGAAACCAACGACCAGGAAAATAGTAGCTCGAAATCGGGAAATAAGTGAACTTTTTCGCAAACTCTCAAGGACCTTGCTTAATCCGGTCTGTGATTTCAGGTTAACGTCTGGAGGAAGCAACTCCCAGTGGCATCAACGTACTTACTGAAGCTGACGCAATCCAGTGGACAAAGGGGTTACAAACCAAAGTAAAACAGAGTAAGAACGCCTGTGTAATTGTACTGATGAAGACAAGTATTCATTCACTCCCAGAAGGACACTGAAGACATGTTTGGTTTGTCCAGCTTGTGAACTTTTTAGCTAGGGCCCGTCCCAGTCTGCACTAGCAATATAAGTCCTAAACCCATCATTCAAAGGCGCTTGAGAGCACTCCGTCCTTTGGTCCGCATATATGTAATGACAATTTTTGTTGCCAAGATGTAATTCCTGTTCTACATACGGGCTTCCACTTCCATCGAACTCAGTGGCTGCTTAACTTCGGGGCGCTGCCTATTCCGGGACGCTGCCTCCCTTTCATCTCCAATCGTCTAAGTAAGGTTGTAGAGAACCTGTCAGATTTAACACCACCTTTGCTGCAAAATCTAACCAGATGTTTTGATCACCAACAATATCTGGTGTACCAATTTTCGCTTTGGAGACTGAACTGCGAAGACAAATGTTGCAAAATGCAGAACACCTGGGGCTGTAGAGGGTACTCATCAGGTCACGCGTCACAAAAACTCAAACCACGTGACAAATCCTGTCCCATTTGCAACCTTAGCCGACAACTTGTACCCTACAAATACTCATCCATTTTTTGTTGACATGGCTACCACTTGCGTCACGCGCCAGTCTTACGAACTTCATTTCAACACATCAGGTCGAGCTGCATTCATGTTCGAACACGAAGGGACACCCTTCTCTTCACACTGCACACAATAAACAGGCATACAACTCCGCCAAACACACTATTGCGAGCAGGACAGGAAGTCAACAGAGCTCCGCAAGTCTCCACGGCTAACTACGGAACACGTGTAGGAGCTACACTGCAGAGAAGATACATCCCGCGTCCGAAACTTCACTCAGAAACTCGCAACAAGTGTCCTCAGACGATTTATCACTTTTAGCTTATTCCACTTTTCGCATTCTATCTATTTTTCGTCAAGTGCATCCAACTATTGTATTCATCACGTTCTAGTAAGACAGACATTTGTTAGTGCTTGTTATCCCTCTGATAATCAACTTAATTACGTCACACTAGAGCACTAACAGGGCACACAGGGTGATGACTTTGCCGCCGATTAAAGCCTCAACATCAGTTTTATCAAAGGGTCATTACAGTTACCAGTTCACATGCAACTGTGGAGATCCGTACATCGGTAGAACCAACCGACGCCCAGAATGGCCCGCAAAGGAATTCCTATCAAACGAATCCACACTTTACTGGCTGACCATGATCAAAATTGGAAGGAGTTGATAATTAGGTAATCAATTATCAGGCGTTTGGTCCAGACGGCAGACTGAGTTTTACTCTACTATTATTCCTAGTCATGAGAAGGAAGAAGGTAGTGAACAGAGCTTGTTTTCTGTGATTGTTGTTCTTGCCTAGTACATCACAAATTTATATGGCAGCAGAAATCACGTGGAAAAGGTTAAGATCGAGACTACGTACACTTTAGAGAAATAAAAATCAAAGGAAGGGGGGTTGGATGAGGAATGGGTCACGGAATCAGGTAAGTGACATCAGTGTCAGACAGACTTGTGGGACCAGATGTTTCGGAGGCCAGTTCAAGTTCAGAGGTCGCACAGGTTTCTTTTGGATACTCGATCTTAACCTTTTTGATTTGATTTCTGCTGCCATATAAATTTGTGATGTACTAGGCAAGAACAACAATCACAGAAAACAAGCTCTGTTCACTACCTTCTCTCATGACTACATGACTACCACGGGTATATTCGGCCACTATTCTTCCTAGGTCTAAGCAGGAAGCAATAGTCCCCATGACCTCAATCTCCTTGAGGTAATATTGATTAATCGCCAAAAGCCTGTGTTGTTTACTCAGAAAGAGCTGAAAATAACCCTGAATATCCCTTGTTCTTAATGACCAGTCAAGTTACAGTTTAGTTCCATGTGAATCAGGGAACTAGTTCTGTATTTTGTTTCATTTTACTCTTTTTAATACCTATTGTGGCCGACGAGATTGAATTCGTTCGACGGAAGTTTTGTTCTTTCTGCCTTCTTCAAACCGAGCTGGGGATCACCATGTTCCGCATACTTACAAGGGAGATTCTTCCCTACTACAGCAAAAAGAATAAACTGTCAGAACCGTCCAAAAATCAACCCAGTTTTCCCGTAATCTCTACTCTATTGATTCTGCTTCAAAAGAACTTCAAGGACCCGTCTTTTAGTGTATCTCTTTCTGAACATTGCCGCGAGGACTCATATCGTCTGATAGGAGCCAAGCCGACACCGTATTCATTCAAACCACACAGTGTAATGGCAACTGCAGCTAAGGAGAGAATCTCATATTGATTTATTCCGATTAGCTGATCACTTATTCTTTGAAATATAGAATCATACGGACGGAAGCCTTGGTCGTTATATCCGAGTACCATTAACATTTCTTAAGCCTCGTTCCAAACCACCAATCCCATTCATTCTACGTAAGAACGTAGTACTCTTACTAAGTACGAACATAGGCGAACAGCTTGTGCGCTGTATGTGATATTTGGTTAGGTTGCTTACTGGGCGAACGTGTGACGTCAAGAACAGTTTTTGGCTTGTTTTCTAGAGGAGCAAGGGTGACCGTTATAACCGGGACCACAGAAGACAAAAGAAACAGGGGTCGAGTGGCACTTGAAAGCATCTAGTCGAAATTTAAGGGGTCGGCTGGTTGGTAAACCTCACATCTGCCGGTCACAGATGAGGACGGGTAGTCACGCTTTTAGGTGATGTTCGTAAACCCTGACGATGCAACGTTTCGGTCGGCACATGCAGGTTGCCGCTGCATAGTAAAAAAACTTTTTTCGAAGGTCGGCCGCCAGTAAGTCAGGTGAACTGAGCCACTTGAAGGCGGAAACTTCAACCTACTCTCTTATTCCTGGCAATGGTTAGGAAGGCGAATTCGGACTAAAATTTCATCTTTGCAATATTACTTTTTCAGACTGAAGATGGGATCGTTGAACTGTTCCCCGAATTTTTAGCCGCTCCGTTTGAGTACCACACTCAAGGCCGGCTAATCAGTTATCTAGGATGTGCTAAACCACAGGTCAGCATGATTCAATTTTACGAACAGTGACACCTAGATTCAGGTAGGAAGACTATTCACTATAGAGCATACTACGGCCCTATTATATTGTTTGACTAGACCAAAAGACCGTTTATCGTATAGTCACGGAGTCAGGAGAAACGAAGGGGCCGAGCCTGAGCTCTTTATGCAGACATCGTACTTTAAAAATGTGCCACGTGGTAAACAACTGATCAACGCTCTCCCCTAATTTGATCTGTTGCAAAGACCCCGGCCAAGGAATGTTGCCTAGTCATTGGAGCACGTAAGGCTCGACCACAAAGCCGTAGTAGATATGAGACCTGTTTTTCTCCATTGTTTCTTGCATTTCCTCCACATTCCGTCTGAATATTTATAAGAATGCAAAGTTATCAACCACTTAGGCTTTACGCTCCCTTTCATAGTTCAGGAGATACTTGGTGGGACGTGAAGCTTATTGACAAATCACACGTCTTTTTAAATTTTTCGCCTACTGCATCAACAGCTCCTTCTTTTTGGACTTGTAAATTTCATTTCTACTTGCGTCTCCGACCATTGCAATTTCTTATTGTGGATCTTGCAGGTAAGCAGTTGACTCAAGCACTCCATTTGTCGGGTTGACATCAGATCTCAGCTAGTACCTGAAAAGTTTAACAGGGAATGGTCAAACAAGAAAACGAATTTCACAAAATTGTTGGATTCATCGATTCACCCATTTCTAGTTTTTAAATCTAAGATTTGTCACAATCGTCCCGGGCAAACAACGAAGCAACACCAACAAAATGGTGAACCAAATCATGTGTTATCCCTAGCGGGAGAGGTCTACTGGATGTGTTTCTCGGAAACCTGGTAGTCTCTTTAGCTTGTTCGTACGGCGTGTTGAATAATATCAGCGGATACATGGATCGTATTCGTTGAAATTCGATCGATATTCCAATCTAGTGATCTTTTATTGGTTATCGCCAATGCAACTGCTGAGGAAGCTTGCTTGATCTTCGGCTGTTCAAGGATAGTAATCTTTATTCACCTCAGAAGAAAAGGTTGGTAACGTAATGCGCCCTACTATCGTAAACAGCGGTGTGATACAAATCACTCGATTTGCCCAGTGGTCTTCACCAATATTACCAACATTTTCTCGTGAATGACGCTCAGCTCATCCGTCATATAAATGGGTCGATCGGACATGTGACTATCGTTTGAGAACCATGGCAGTAGATGTCTTCTTGACTGTCGAATATTGCGGTTAACTGTGAATAGACGATTGAATTCCATCAACCACGCTGGTTAATCACCAGTACCACAGGTTTTCCTCAAACCGAAGTTCTGAGAAGGTGATGGCCATATTATTTTGATACACTTGTCTACCTCCATTCTGTTCACGAATTCTATCTGCTTGTACAGAAAACGTGAATGAGGCAGAAATTTTAAATTAGGCGTTCGGTCTGGAGCATGGCAAATGCATACTGCTTATCCGTACAGCATTCACTCGGGATCCTGGCTACTTATATTTAGCATCAGTAGTATGTTCTCTGCGATAAAAAGGCAAGGATTTTGTGTAAACCCCAAAGTGTGTAGAAGTGCAAAATAAGCGTTAAAAAGACTACATTTTCACACGCAGTGACGCGCGATCTTTGATATTGATTTTTTTCTCGTTTAGGAACTATTCCACATAAATACGATACAGATATTCGGCTCCACTCAGAAATGAGTTCTTTTGTGTTCAGCTGTAACCCAATGCTGCCTTATGGTATCACTTTTGTATGCAAACTCCTGTGATTCACTTATCTGTAGTTATTGTTCATTGACAAAGTCTGCTGCGAGACTCAGTGAAACATGGAGATATGCAAGCCACCGGGTTCCTCAAACCTGTCTGTTGAAGTACAACTCACCGAGACTCCTCCCTTCCCCCAAATAGTCCTCTGAGTGTTTCATGAAATTTTTCGCTAATTTAAGGCTTTTCAAAATTTTACCTTTGATGCAGAAGCATCTTTGGGGCCGAATGACTAACTTAAGGTTCAAAACGATAATAATTAGCGAGATGTTGCTCAACTGGAGAACTGAATCAACGCCGTTTCGTTATAAAATTCTTCTGGGTTTGTAGGGGCGACTGATTACCTAGTTAATGAACTAAGGTTTACTAAAATGACGAGTAGAGAGAAATTCGAAACCGGACGCACAAAATTCTAGCCAGCGGGAGCGGAAAGTTTGCCGCAAGATTCTGGAGCGAAGTTGATGCATGATAGTTGAGATAGTCGCCAAGAGAGAAAGAATATTTTTCATCATCATCATCATCATCATCATCATCATCATCATCATCATCATCAACATCATCATCATCATCATCACCATCACCATCATCATCATCATCATCATCATCATCATCATCATCATCATCATCATCATCATCATTGTCACCTTTTATAACCACAAACCCTAGCCTCATGCATGCGGATGAACCGATTGAGGTAGTAGACAAATTTGTTTACCTGGGCATCTGTATCAGTCCCGGTGGTCTCGCGAAAGATGATACTTCCATCCGGATTGGGAAGGCCAGCGCATCTTTTGCGAACCTACTTCACCTGTGGCGTAGGCGTGACATCAGCTTCTC